CCCCAAAACCCCAAAACCCCAAAACCCCAAATTTTTTTAATAAATTTAAAATATATTAAAATGGCACTAGCGCTTGGTTTTAGCATGAATTTGACAATTTTTGGGTTCAAGAATATTTTGGTCAAGGAACAAGGGCACTATTACTGACTTCTTCACCTCTACATTCAAACACCTAATGCAGTCTATACAATCCCTCCTAAGGAATACGAAAGCCTCCATTGGGAAGAAAGCCAGATACCAGAAAGGACTAAGAACTTCTACAGAAGGAACCTTGACAAGGGAATGAGGAACGGGATTATCAATAACTTCTCTTATAAGGGGAACTAAATACAGGACGAAAGGATGGAATATTAAGTTTACTGAAGAAGAAAGTATTCTTAATGAAGTAGTGTATTATGAAGGCCAAGTTGACCTGCCTCTGAGTAGTCCAGCTTATGATATTTCACAACTGAGAATTCCGATTATGGTTGATGCTGTTTTGTATTTCAGGAGGTAGGATTTCTCTTTAATTTTGACATGATTTGTTATAGTGATGATGCCCCAACCTCAGAGACATATGAACCAGTTGATATTAAAACATACAGGCTTGGAGATATCATTGGAAGTGTAAATAAATATGTCCCAATTGAGTTTTCTGGTAACTTCACATCAGTTTTGAATTGTTATATTCAATGAAATATTAGTAATATTGAGTGAAGTCAGAGATCAGTCATGAGACAAGTAAGTAGATTTTACATAGTTTCTCAATAACCTGGTACTACTTTAGCAATTTATTAAAGCTAGTAAGTCAGAACAGACAGATAATATTTGAAGAGTAAAAACACATGAGCAGATAAAATAATCAAGATTATTGGTTATGAACAGATTATGATGAATCAGAGCTTCTTTTGTGTCAAAAGTGTGATCCAAGTACACTCCAACCCTATCTTTTTCCTTGTTTCGGGAACAAGGTAGCAACTCGAGAGTTAGCTAGCCTATCTCAGACCTATTACGAAAGAATCTGAGGTTTATTTGTACTCCATCAGAATCGACTTCGAACAGTTTACAAAGCCTTATTCATTCAAATGAAGAGAAATAAAGAAGAATTTAAAGAGAAAAGAACAAGATTTAAGAAGGTAGAGCTAGATCATGAACTTTTCTCGATGTATGACCTTGATAGTCTCGGATCAGAAGAAGACTCAAGTGATTCAGAATCTTCAGACATCAGCTCAAGTTCTAACTCTAATTCCAGTTATTCAGAAGAGTCCAAGACCACATCCTCAAATTCAGATTCAAAGCTTGGAACTCAAAGAGAGAATATGAATGCTTCGGCTGATCAGTGTGTTACTCTTGATCAAGATGATTTTGATAACGAAGAAGTGAGGACCAGTTTAGATGGAAACCTTCAGCATATATTACTAAGTAAAGGAGCGAGCAGGGGTATTTGTCTCACTCCTTTCTCTGTTGTTCATACAATCGAGGAAAAGCGGGATGAAATCATTGTTAAAATCAACAAAATTTCTTGCAAACTGTTAAATCTCATAAGATCTCATCCCTTCGTTGCTAAATAAATTAATAGAGGCCAAATATTGGGAAAAATATGATAAATCAATCCAAAAGAGATTTATCTGAAATTCTAGCTCTAAAACTCTTCTATCTCTCGGTAATCAAGATAAGGAAACTATGATTACAAACAGCCAGAGGAAAAAATATATGAAAACCTGCAGAAGAGAGGAATGGAGAGGCTTGCCTTATAGAAATACCTATGAAACATCCTCATCACCTATCATGATAGAGTATGAGCCGGATTCAGATAACAATAATGAGAGTGATTCAGAGTCATCTTCAATATCCTCAATATCTACAATAGAGGAGGAGTATCAGGATTACCATTTAGTATTCTTGCTTCATGGGTACAAAGGGAGATCAAAGGACATGTCTAACTTTCAGAATTCCATTTTAAAATAAGTTCCCTGAAGCTAGGGTCCATTCATGCAAAAGTTTGAATGGCATTAACTACGGTAAATATACAAATGGCATATTATCCCTCGCCAAACTTATTGCTAGAGAAATGAAACAAGAAATTGATAGAACCAAACAAATGAAAAAGCTTGGAAGAATATCCATGATTGCCTACTCACTGGGAGGATTGGTGTTCAGAGCAAGCTTAAGATATTTAAGGAGATGGATAGATCTAGATACAAGGTTGGATATGCTCATAACTATGGGAACGCCTCATTGAGGATATGTTCATACTAGTAGTAATCTTCTATCTACTGGAATGTGGTTTGTTGAAAAGTTCTCCAAAAATCCATTCATCTCTCAGATTAGACTATCAGATTCTAAATCGTTGAGAGACTGATTTATTTATCAGCTCTCTGATGACGAGTACATATCATGATTTTCTAAGGTAATCTTTGTAGGTTCTTCCCAAGATGCTTATGCTCCCCTAGAGAGTGCTATTGTAGAACCTTCTCGCAGGTTAGAAAGAGGTTCAAAATCAGAAATCATCATGAAAATTCAAGCCAAGTTACGATGAAACCTCTCAAATACAAAATTTATCCAAGTATGGGTAAACTGTAAACCTCGAAAGAAATCAAAACTGGATGCCTACATTGGTCGGGAAGCCCACATAGAATTTATTGACAACATAGAAGTAACAAAGATGATCATCAGCAGATATTTCAGCTAACTTTGTGTTTATTTCAGCTAGTTTTGATACATGAGGGGTTTTGGGGTTTTGGGGTTTTGGGG